GAGCATGAAGAAGTGGTTTCAAGTAATGATAAGGGAACTCCAATTCTAACCAGTGAATCAGCTGCAAAACTGTTAATTCCCTGTGTTTTGATGTTGAACAACATCAAATATGAAAATCTCTCTCTCTCTCTCTATATGTATATACAATACTTGTGGAGGTTGGTTGGTTTTTGAGTTCAAGTTGTTACTGAAAAATTTTGGACCCACAAAACAAGTGGCTCGTAGAGGGTGGTGAGGTACGTAGGACTAGGTTAATATAATTAGTGGCAGATTTGGTCAATAAACCAAAGGGGCTATGCGATTTATAGTAATAGACTCATAGGAAGTATAGGATGAGACTTTTTATGACCTAACCTCTAGAAGAACGTTGGGACTTATACAAATGAGGGAAGATGGAATTGACACCCAACAACTAGGACTTTCGATTAAAACCTATGTTAAAAGGGAGGTTTGGTGAGCCTAGGAGAGAAGGACTTTTTAAAAGTACAATTGTTTTTCATTTTAAATAAAATTAAAATATCATTATTACTTTAAAATAATAAAGTATCTTAAAGAAGAATAAAACACACTAAAGACTATATCAATCATCATATATTCAATTGATTTAACTTAGCTAGTAATTTTTAGTTCGAGACTTAAGTATGAAGTTGTGTTAAATATTGAGGGAGAGTTTGTGAAAGATACTTGTTATATACACCAAAAAATGAAGAATAAAGTATAATAAGAGTTAATTTATTGTTAATAATGAAGAATTTATTTTACTAAATAAGAATAAATTAATGATAAAAACTTTTAAAATTGAGAAGAAAAGTTTTGGAAATAAATTGTTTGAATCAAGATATAACATTTTTATAACTATTAATTGAATATAATGGGTTTGTTTATTTAAATTCTTTTCCCATATAAAGTGTTTCTTTTAAATAAAATAGACATTTTTTTTACTTTTTGATATGTTTGTTTATGCTTCTTTTTAAAAATAAGCAATTTTCTGTTTTTTTTAATGAAATAATGTATTTTTTTTTTAAGAATTAATTTTTTAGAGGTTTAGGATTTAGAAACACTTATTTTTAAGTTTAAATAAATGCAAAAAATTTAAATTTTCAAAAATAAATATAAATTAGCATGGATAACAAGAAAAACATGCATCACTAAAAAGTGAATGTAAGATATGAGACAACAATGTGTATCGAAACAAAATACCGTCTATCAAGAATTAATGACTAATAACCAGTTCATGAAATAAACTAATAAAATTCAAGAATGGAAATTTGGATTTGTGTTGAATAGTATAAACTATAAAAAAATAAAAAAATAAAATCAAGAATGTGATCATTGATTTATATTTTAAACTATTTTTGCGAATTTTTTTTTTAAGAAAGTGTCATTTTATTAAAAGGGATGATGAGTGTAAAATTGAGCAAGGTGTGCATGAATATAAATTTATGTATATAGGATGGGGAAAAAAGAAAAAAAAAACTATCTTAAAATAAAGTAGTTAATAAATAAATGTGCGAACAAAAAAAGAGAGAAAACACTTTTTTATATTGATTTATTTTAATTTAAGACCACATATATTCTTTGGTATATCACCAAGAATTTACTATCAAAACACTTTTACAGGTAGTTTTTGAACCAAAACTCTTTAAACTTAACTATAAATATTATTTGCCTTACTTCTACAAAATAATATATAACAAGTATTCTTTGATTACAAAATTTATTCATGTTTCCAACAATTTTATCAAGAAATGGTTAAGATAAAATTCACGTACTCTTTCATCTCAGTTAGTTTAGGTCTTTTGTTATCACAAAATGTCTTTTTTACACTTGAATTGATTTACAAAACACTTATATAAATTTTGATAATTATTTGGTACTTTATTTTTTTAATTAAAATTGACGGATAATTATAAAATCATTTTATACATTGATTTAAATTAATAAAACAAAGTATCAAATAATTTTTAAAATTTTTAAACATTTACAGATTTAATCTATACATTAAGAGCCTTAAATTCAACAGTTGAATCGTTGAAATTTAAATGTAGAATATGAATTATTGAACGGAATAAGTCTAAGTAGACTCACTAATAAAATAAACAAATTTCTCCTTATATATATAGAGAGAGCATATCAAGTGAGAGGGAATTTATTATGAGAGATGAGAATATAACCCTTAGATTAATTTCCTCCCACTTGATTAAACCCCAAATTTTCTCTCACTTAATTAATCTAAGGATTATATTTTAACTCTCTTATTTCTCATAATAAATTCTCTCTCACTTAATATGCTTCCCATATATATATATATATATATATAACTTAAAAAAGCTTCTTTGAATATAACCATTACGGGGACATTCGAGTAGTTGCCTTTCCTTTAACTTCAAGAGATCTAAAATTGTGGTGAATGTTGACACATTTAATGCAATGTTAATTATTTTTCACCTAACTAGTCACGGTGATAAGATAGAACATATAATTTATCTTTCTTTTCATGCACTACTATTATACTTCTAAAACAAAAGTTTATACATTTAATATAAATTAATATTTATTTGTCAACTTTAAAATATCACATAAATCATGTTAAAAAAAATTATTTTCTTTGAAGAAATACTTTGTTATTCTTTGTTGGTAGATAGCACCTTATAAGTTTAAGTCTTTATTTTAAAATAATATATATCTTATAAACTATTTCAATCTAAATAAATACTTAGAAATTTAATTAATAAATCTACAGAAGAAAAAAAAATTTGAGTTTACATAAGAAAAAACTCTACAAAAGAAAAAAAAATTAAGTTTAAATAAGCTAAAATAGCAGAAGTAATAAAAGGGAGAACAAAATCAAAAACTCTCAAATTCAAGGTATAAGAGATCTGCCATAAAGAGCAAGCTTATTTGTCATCTGATTCATCTTCCTAAATGAGTTCAACAAATAACAACTCCACCTTGAACAAAAGCAAGAATATTTCTATCAAACCAATACATGGATGGTGATCAACACAACCATTACGTAGCATATTAATGGCAATCTAAGAATCAACTCTCCTTATCATCTTAAAAAAAAAAAAAAAAAAAAAAAAAAAAAAAAAAAAAAAAAAAAAAAAAAAGAACTCTCCTTATCATGAATATTTTTTATTTTATGAAAGAAAATTACATATTTTTATACCAAATTATGTTTTCTTCAGCAAGGAGCATGAGTGACTTAAAAAAACTGAAATTTTACTGCTGAAGGTGTATAATTTTAGTCCTCCTGCCTGATGTTATTTTGTACGTAGGTATATTCATAAATAACTTATGCGTGTTTGGACCTCGTTAGGTTGCTTTCAAAATCACGTCTTTCTTTAATTTAATGCAGATTCTTCCCTTTATTAGCTTCGAATATGCACGTCAAATACACCAAGTTCTTGCTACACCGACACAAAACCAAACATACTATTTATCTGAAGTAATTATTGGCCATTTATTTAAATTATTTTCTTAAATAAGCAGTTTTATACGATTCTTTTATGTATTTATCTACACTTTTTTATAAACTGCTTTATATTTTTTTTATAAGAAGCAATTCATATATGTTTTTATAAAAAGTACTTTTTTCAAAAATCACTTTTTTTTAATTTTAAACAAATTTATCCTATATGTTCATGTTCAATCAACTTTACAGTTTATATTGAGAAAAATCCAAGTCTCATATATTAACTAGAAATTAGACAATTAAATAATATATAAGTGAAAAATAATTCTCATTTATAAGTTAATTTTGTAAGGTTGAGTTAGATTCAAATATACTATTCTAAGATGATATCAGAGTTATCTTAAATCTTTAAAAAGGACCACCTATCCTAAATCATTAAAAAAGAGATCACTTATCATTTATCTACGTATCAAACATTGATTAAAGATTAGACAATTAAATAATATATAAATGACAAGGAACTCTCACCTTACAAGTCAATTTTGTAGAATTGAGTTATGTTCAAATTCACTATTCTAAAAGTTTATACATTAAATATCTAATATACCAATTTATATCGATACATATAATTATATATGATTCGGTAATCATCTATTTTAATTTTCACTTTTGATTTGGCACTTTTACTTCTAAATAAACATTTTTTTTTTAAATTACCTCACTCACTCGTAAAAAAATCCACCTCACTCTCTAATTTATATAGTTATCTATTTTCAAATTTGAATTTTTTTGTTATAATTATTTTAACACATAAAAGAATAAATATTGAAAGGCACAATATGCCTCTTTACCTACTAATTTTAATAATGGGAGGCTTAAGAGGGACATTTGTGCTTTCTCGACAATGTCTCCCACTTAATTTGTGTAGTGAATCCTACACATTAGGTTCACCTTAAAAAATATATCCCCGACAATAATGTAAAAAGTAATTAATAACAAATCACATGCTCATCGATAACTATGATTTTACCATCAACGGGGTTAGTTGAAACTACACTTAAAACATTGAGATTCTAGCTAATAGAAATTAAATTAATACGTAACAATTTTGCGATAAACTTTTGTGAAAAATATTTATGGGAAACAATTTTTTCATACATGTTATTTTTCATATAATAAATCAAAAACAAAAATTAACTCAACTTCAAATTCCTAGAAAAATAAATATTTTCTGTGTATTGATCAAACATCTATGTGTGCTTTAGTATGGTCGTGTGGCCAATGGTGCTAATTTTGTTTTTTTCGAGACAAAGGTATCCGTATTCAAAATGCATACGTAAGTAACTTTACACTAACACTGTCTTAGACTTTTGCTGATTACATAAAGGAGACCTTAACGTATCTTTTCTTTCATTATTGTATGATTTCTTTGTCACGTTGTTCATTTTGTTTTTAACCAATTGCAATGTTAGCTGTTTCACATTTGTTGTTGTCTTTTTATTTATTTTTTTCTCACACATCTCAAAACCAATAATTCAATACTAATTTATTTTATCAAATGAAGTTAAGAAAAGAAAGTAAATGACATTTTGGTTAAAAGCATGGATATTGTAATTTTTAATTCTTTTTTCCATGAATACGTTGAGTACAAAAGATTAAATTAGCTAAAAGAAAAGATCACACACAATACAAGGGAAAGTGCTTGAAGATACTAATTAAAGGGTATTTACCAAAGGCTTGAAAGAACCTTCAATCTACATTGGATCAAAGTGAACCTTCACATAAAAGCACAAGTACTTGTCATAATCATAATTATACTATTTTCTTGCGATATCAACCCATTTTGCTTCCCGTTATATGTTCTTTTCTGAAGAGGAAATTGACTCAAAGAGTACTGGGGTTGCTCCTGAATGATCCAAGAGCCTTAGCAGCACCTGCTCTCAAGATGAATTGGTGGTAGAAGGCTGCAATGGCTGCTCCAATAAATGGTCCAACCCAAAAGATCCACTGAACAAACACAAGAAACAAGAATATATCAGACAAAAGTTGCCATCTATTTTATTTTAAGTTTAATACATGAACCTTTTAGAACTTTTTTAATAAGGTTTCTAAATTTAAAAAAAAAATTGTGATCATGTCCTTTATCTTTTTATAATTTAGTTTTGAAGTTAGAAAGTTGTCTACAATCCATGCAATTTTACAAAATATTCTTAATACATATAGATACACAGAATAATAATCTAATATGATAGTTTAGGTGTGCAGATATTAAAAATATTTGTTACATGACATGGAAAATTATAAATTTGATCATAGTAAAAAACAAGCAAGTTGTTGAATATAGAAATTAAAACAGTTACTCACATGGTCATCCCAGGCCTTCTGTTGGTTGTACATGACAGCTGCTCCAAGACTCCTAGCAGGGTTAATACCAGTGCCAGTGACAGGGATGGTGGCCAAGTGAACCATGAACACAGCAAAACCAATTGGAAGTGGAGCCAAAACCTTAAAATACAGAACAAAATCACAATAAGAAACTCATCATGTGGTTAAATTAAAACAAAAAGAAAATGTATATAATAAGTTATGTCAAACATACAAATCTAAATTAATTATTAAGATTTTAAATTGTTATTGCAGTTACAATTTCATAGCAATCCTTGACATTATAGAAAATTGTGGATAAATATGATTGATGCGGCTACAATTGCGGTTGCGGGAACCCAAAATCCATATTGTTGCAGCTAAAATCTAGGTGGCGGATCATTTTTTAAAACCTTTGTTAATTATTATTAAAGGAAAAAATTGAAATAAATAAACAGTTAGGCACCTAGGGCAGATGGGGCATGCCCCATGTGAGGGGCATGGCTTCTTTTCTTTATTAATTTGGAGAATCTGAGAAAGTGTTTGGAGGAACTTAAAGCTGATAATGACAAATGAGTATGATGCTGGAAACTTTCACGAGATTTGCCAGCTTGGAGAAAGTGACGTTTATCATGAATGACAGATATGAAGTTCACTCTTTAATTTTAGGCCTTAAAGTCCTACATCAACAAAGATACATTTTGCTTTCAATGCAAAAAAATGAAGACGAGAACTCCTGAAGAATCCACTTTTCTCAAAAGAAGAAAGAATTCAGATAAGATTTGTATGATAAAGCTATGAAAATCAAGTGCCACCACAGAATCATATATGGTAGTGGCCTAATGGGCATATATTACTCAAGCATATGGTAACAATTCAATTCAATAGAAAACATATTGTATTTGGTAATTTTGGTGAAAGAAAAAGATAGGTTTACCGGCCACTCTATGATGCCTAGATGAATGAAAAATGTAACCAACAAGACATGAAATGTGCCCACAGGAAAAGGTTGCCCACTTTCTTGTTTTGAGGAAAAGACAATCAAACAAGAAGTAGAAAGAAAGGAAAGCCAAGCAAGAAAAGTGGAAATTTTTATCTACATTGAATGCTGCCTGATCTACGCAATAGATAATTGCGGATGAAGTCTCTAGATAAAGTAGTGAAAAGAAGGATTCAGATTCCAATATCAAAAGGAAATCCAACTGGCTAAGATCTTAACTGTTTCATGAAGGATGGACTAATTCAGATTATTGTGAAATGATTATTAAAAATAAAGCCTCTATAACTACTAATACTATTACTAAGCATATATGTTGACTGTGCCAAAACTTTTTGTGAAGATGGAATCTGCATGATAGCATAGGCTGTGTAAACTTTATCATTTCACTTCAAAAGGGAGAATCATCGAGTGCAGCATGTACAACTTCTGGAAATGCAGTGGAATTGTTTTTAAACAATTGTGAAGTTCACTCCAATTGGTGTGAATCTATATACTGACAACCATTTCAAGAACTACAACTAATTATCCATGAAAACAAAGAAACTGTATCAAAGCTTCTTAATTACTTTTATGCCACTCTACCTAATTTATTTACAAAGCAAAGCTAGCTAGATGCTTAAAGTTAAGATATCTGATAATAACTTATTCACTTCCACAGTTCCACTCAACTTTTTTCTTTACCAATAACCAATCTAAAATAACTTCAAGAAACTTAGGGTCTGTGATAAGCTTCTTCAGAAGCACCTTTAGGAGAGAAAAATAAAAAGAAAAACTAAAATAAATTTCTCCGTAAGTTAAAACTAATTTATGTAAGAGTTAAAAATAAGATTTTAGAGAATCTAATAAGAGAAAAATTTTATTAAAATAACTTATGGAAAAGTTTACTTCATTTTTCATTCTTGTTTTACTCTCCTAGATATGTTTCTGGAGAAGTTTTATCTAAACAAACTCTTAATCTCCTATTTAAAACATGAAAGACGAAGGAGTGAATCCAGGCTTGGTTAAAAGCAGGGTATGATAATATCACAGGAACTTGGTATGTACTATTATACCATGCCAATCATTGTTTTCAACATAACTCATGCAAGCAACATTTTCCTAAACAGTTAATGTAACAACGTATTTTTCAAAGCAAGGAAGCACAAACAGGACTAGAATACAATAAATGATTGAACTCATACCGGCACATGAGAATCTCTAGCACTCCTCTTGGGGTCAGTTGCAGAGAACACAGTGTACACCAAAACGAAGGTTCCAACGATCTCTGCACCCAATCCAACACCAGTGCTGTACCCTGCACTGAGCTCATTGGCCCCACCACCATACCTGTTGTAGTAAGCCTTTTGGAAGGCCTTAACTAACCCAACTCCACATATGGCCCCCAAGCACTGAGCCACCATGTACAATATAGCTCTAATCAAAGACACCTTACGAGCCAAGAACAGCCCAAATGTCACTGCTGGGTTTATGTGACCCCCTGCATTGGTAGAAAACCCACAATTTTCAGAATAAGACACAACAAACATGCTAGCAAATCATGGTTGTTTATTTACTTAACCAAGAAAACAAGCACAAATGCACCAGAATCTTCAGTTTGGAGACTGAGAAAAAAAAAAACAAAAAGACCATTTAAATTTGAAAAACACCATTAAATCATTTGATAAAAACACTCGATCAAAACAGGCTGGCTAAATGGCTAAATTGGGTTTGCTTCGGTTTGATAAAAAGGATCCACTACTGCAATTTCGGCTACAATGTCAAGCTTTTTGAGTTCTCTGCAACCGCATCAATAATGTTTGTCAACAATTTTCCACAATACTTCACAACAAAACTGCAACTTCAACCGCAATTGAAGCTGCATCAGCAAAGTTTGTCCACAATTTTCCATAATATCAAGGATTGCAGCAAAACTGCCACCGCAACCACAATTTAAAACCTTAAATTAGAGTCCAAAGGAAGCAACTTTCCCTATTTGGAAAACCAGAATATGAAAAGGAAACCAAGTCAATCAAAGTCAAACAAACTTGCAATTGCAAAACAAAACATGACCCATAAGTCTTAAGAAACAAGAAAAGAGACCAAACTCCATGGAAGCAAATTAAAAGGGTGTCTACATGAAGAATGAGCAAAATGAAATTGGAAAGTGCAAACCCACCAGAGATTCCAGCAGTGCAGTAAACAAGGATGAATATCATGCCACCAAAGGCCCAAGCAATGCCAAGAATGCCAACACCACCACACACATCACCCCCAGCCTTGACATCACTCTGGCTCTTGTAACCAATCACAGTGAGCACAGTGATGTAAAGGAAGAGCAGTGTGGCAATGAACTCAGCAATCAGAGCCCTGTAGAAGGACCACTTTGTGAGCTCCTCAGCATCAATCAAGGGTGCTGGAGGAGGGTCATGGTAGTCCTTGGCAGAGAAGGAACCACGCTCAGCCACCTCAACATCATGCTTAGCCATTGCAATTTCCAACACTGATCAAACAATGAACTTGATTCTCAAAGAAAGGCCCAACAAAAGAACAAGAACAAGAACAAGGCTTTGATGTGTGCTTGTGTGTGTTAATTGGTGTGAGAAGAGAAGGGGTATATATGGGGGTGATGGAGTGTGGTTTGAGCATTTTATTTTTATTTATTTTCATATAATTATGAATGTAGAGTCTCATAATTGATAATTATATATTAATTTATATTTATAAAATGCGAATTTTACTAGTTACATATTATTTTAATACAGATAAAAACCAATTCTAAAAATACTATCAAAATCATAGAAATTAAATCTTATAATTATTGAATCAAAATAGTAACATATATAAGAACATTTGATTAGAAAAATAGTAACTTATTATTATTATTATTATTATTATAGACTCTTTTTGGTTGGGGGTTTGCTTTCACCGACCCTTGACCTCACTTTTACTACACCACCACCTCCCTACCACTCACACATTTGTATTTTTGTGTTTCCTTTTCAATGTTTTGTCATTTTGTTCTCTCTAGAATCTTACTTTGCTAGGTTTTTGGCTATTTCCCTTCCTTTCACGGGATCAGTTCTCTTCTTCATCTTCTAAGTTTACTAGTTTAGCAAGTTTGCCAATATTTTTTACTTCAGTTTTTAAGTATTTTTAGTTCATAAATTTTTATTTTTAGTCTTTGAAGAATTTTTTTTATTATCAATTTTTACTTTAGTCTTTGAATTTTCATTTTACATTTTGATTTATGACCTTAATTTTTTTTCATATGCAAAAAAAAAATCAGAAACTAAAATCACATAAAATTGACACATATTAAGAAACTAAAAACATATTTAATATTTATTATTTTCTTTGTAAAAATGATTATTAATTTTACATTGATATTTACATATCTAGCTACACTCAGATTAAAAAAATAAATCTTAATTGTTTTGATAATTAGGGAAATTAGATAAATCTAAATTATTTTCTTAATTACGATATCTAAGAAGGTTTAATTCATCATCCTAATTATTATGATTAAAATTTAAAAGCCTAAATCATTGTGAAATTAAAGTAACTATGAAAGGCTAAATCATTATCCTCATTACAATTGACTTGGAAACTAATTATTACAACAAATTGTCAAATTATCAAAACAAAGCAATTTTTATCATTGTTTTTTATTTGTTATGCTTTAGTTTGTCCTACAACAAACTTTAGAGTAGAATTTGTTTAACACTCCAATAAATGTCAACAAAATTTGAAATGACAATAAAAAAACTTAAAATTTGAAACCTTACGCAAGTTACCCAAACTCTTTTATTACCATTTTTAAATTTTCTCCCTAATACATTATTTATTTATCATATCATATTTACATTTATAGTGGTGAATTGGAGGAATATAGAAAGAGTTTTAATTTCGAACTTTATTTTTACTACTATTATAATTCTTATAGATTTTAAAAAATATTTCTCTTCCTATTTCTTTTTCTCTTGGTGTATACATTAACACTTGTAGATACCACAAAATACACCCCAACAAAAAATGTCCACGAATTATTTTACTTTAAAAAATATTCACGACATACCGCATTATAACATGGATAAGCTAAACAAACGAAATAAACTGATAAAAGTACAAAAAGGTCGAGTTCTTGGATTCATAATTCATAGTGCTAATTATTTGTTTTATATAGAGAAATTATGTCTGTCCATTATTTCTGTACAATTATTTTTATAAATAAGAAAATATAAAGAAGAGAAGAGAAAAAACATTACTAGGATAAATGATATCAAATGCATAAAAAGAGAAAGAAAAGAAGAAATTATATAGACTAAAATAAAAATTTCTCGTAGAATACACTACAACAAAAATTGTTTTTAACGACAATTGTTTAATGGCAATAATTTAATTGTCGCTATTTAATTATATAATAAAAATATTAATGACTAATATATAATATTCACTAAAAATGTATTTATATTACACTAAAGTTTACTATTATAGCGATAATTATTTATTGAAAAAACTAGTCTCACATCGATTAGAGATAAGATAATTAAATAGTATATAAGTGAGTAATAACTATCATCTTATAAGTTGATTTATAGGGTTGAGTTAGACTCTTAATTCACTATAATAAATTAGTATCAAATCACCACTATTACCAAGTTCAATAGTACTATAAAACAATTATAGAGCAACTTTTACCTTATAAATCTCACATCTCTTAAGAGATAAGACAATTAAAAAAATAAATTAAAAAATATATAAATAGAAAACAACTCTCATCTTACAAATCTCACATCGACTAGAGATAAAAAAAAGTATATAAGTTATGAATTTAGAAAAGAAAATTATAGGAATAAATTATTTAAAGTTTTACTAGCAAAAGATAAAAGTCACTAAATGGATGGAAAGGAGACAATTGAAAAAATAACTTTTAATAGCCTTTAAAATGGCTACTAAAATTACCACTAAAAAAAATAAGTTTTCCCGGCAATTTAGTAGGTCTTTACCAGTATTTTATATAAATGTCGGTAATAGTATTAGTAATACTGGATACACCAGCCATTATTTAAATGCTGGTAAAAAAAATAATGACCATTTATATAGTCGCTAAAGAATAAATTAATTACCACAAAAAACCTAATTTTGGTGTAGTGATAACATATCTCTTTTATTTATACTAAGAAAAATGAGATAAATTGTACCTAGTTGTTTTTAAAAAAATGACAAAATAAATTGTACAGTTAATTATAAAATAGTAGGATAATTATAAATATTAATTAAGGGAGAGTTAAAAAATATAGACACCAAAACAACTTATCCCATTATTAATTGTTATCGAAGTTATCCGTTAGTTTGGTATGTTATCTCACAAATCTGGAGCTTATATTAAAATAATATTGATTTTTTCTAATGTTAAAAATAAAACTAGGAAAATGGACATGCCGAAAAACTCCAATTATTTATGATTTTATTTGCGATCTTTTATAAAGTATTTATTTATATAGGAGTTTTTCAATTTATGTTTAGTTATGACGAAAGTCATCCTTTAATAATAAAGTTCATGTATGTGTCAATTTATAGCAAAAACTACCGTTTTATTTATATTTACTTATATATATATTAATTTTTTTTTGAAGGAACTTATGTATATATTTGTTTATTTATTTATTATTTATTTATTTATTACATGTGAAGCAAAGTGATGTGCTGTGCACAGCTGCATAGGAACCGTTTGAAAAGTTTCAAGATATCAATGTTTTGCAATCTTTCTCGTGAAACGTGACTATTTTTTTTAGGTATAAGAAAAATTCTCATTAATGTGGATCTTAGTACTCGTAAGTATGACTCGATCATTAATATAAAGTGAGTCAATTTTAATTAATTTTGAATCTCTAATTGAATTAAATTACATGCACATTAGCTTCCACGTTTAGAATCTGCGTATTAAAAACATATTTTCACATTAAAATGTGAAAAATTAATGTAAAGCTCTGTTGCTTTTATTTGACGTGAATCTGACATAAGTCTATCAGTTAGTCATATTCTTGGTGCATTTTTATTAGACCTTCATAGTTCATGCCTCATGATGTATTTTGCTATCAATTCTACTAGTTTCATCTCAGGACTTATGATGTATTTGATTTCAAATTATGGGTCGTAGCACCCTTGTGTGCAATATTTTTTTATTACTTCTATAATTCTAGTTGATATCATTATTCAATATCTATCGTTTTATATTTCTTTTGTTGCTGATTTTATTATGCTCGTTTTACTTTTATGTCGAAGGAAAAAATTATTCATGTTTTCATACATGAATTAAATAAAATTTGTTAAAATTTATTTTACAATGAGAGTTGGCTAATATAGTGTGACCTCGTAATATCGCAAAGGAAGCTGTGCTGCCATATAGAAAGGAAGATGTTAGGGAAACAAAAAGTTTTATGGGAAAATAAGAAAGGAAAAAAGGAGTAAGATTGAGAAGTGGAACTGTGAAAGGAAAAGGGAATAGAGAATCTTTTGAAAAAGTGAAAAGAAAAGAAAATGTATTTATTTACATTATTTTATTAGCTTCCCTATTTTATACGTGACTTAATTATCTAATTTATTAAAATTAAAAAATTAATTAATTTTTTATTATATTAATAAGTATTTAAATTTTATTCTTTAAAATAATAAGGTAAATTAAATCAAAACAAAAATAAAATAGTGATATTAATCTTTTAATCTCAAAGAATAAACATACCTTTTGAAGATAAAATATAGGTGTATATAGAGGAGAGAAAATGCTACCATTAGTTGATAAAAAATTTAAGTGTATTTAAGACATTTTATCGTCACATAAAGGTAAGACGTTATAATATGTTTCTCACATAGGAATGTGCTTGGCAAGCCGAGGATTGCTTGACCTAGGAAGATGTTCTATTCGGTTGGACATGTAATATGAATCCTTGGTAGGTAGTGGTAGCATTATGGTTATCAAGCTGAGGACCAACAGACCCTTGGTATTGAAATTCAAAACCTATCTACTACATAAGTCCCTGAAGTCTTTAGGTCATGGGAGAAGAGTTCAATGTGATGAGAAATTCTTTTGTTTCCCTCTAATTTTTGAAATTACTACTTTTCGTATACATCACCATTTTAGAGTGTCAGATGTTCTAGGAAGATCTTAGAGGGATTTGATAGTTCAAGGAGGTGTGACGCTTTGTCTCCCAAAGCCCTTCGCCTCTATAAATAGAGTCTCTTAGCCTCCATAAGAATTCACGTACAACCTTTGTTAACATGTAATTTTTTGTTTCCCTCTAATTTTTGAAATCACTATTTTTCGTATACATTGCCATTTTAATGGTTATGTCAAGTATAATGATGGCATGTCAGATGTTCCAGGAAGATCTTAGAGAGATTTAATAGTTCAATGAGGTGTGACACTTTGTCTCCCAAAGCCCTTCACCTCTGTAAATAGAGTCTCTTAGCCTCTATAAGAATTCACGTTCAACTTTTACTTGTTGAATACTCCAAGCACTAGTTGTTTCGCCTCCTCTAAAGTTTCTAAAATCCATGTACCAATCAAGCATGCCTCCTCTCCCATCTTTTGAGATCCAATAATAGTGT